TAGTTGACCTTCACGGTCATTAGGCCTGTTAGTTGTTAGATACTGTTCAGAAGAAGAATAACCCGCAGTGAAGATGTCCTGTCACGTTGAACTAAATAAATGATAACTATGATTATCAAGAGTGGTTTTTTAAATACTGAAGTTACGACATATTGGCGACGAGGATAATGGATGATTGAAGGAGTGCCGGTTTGAAGTCGGATGCTACTGGATGGGTTCCGTGGGCTGACGGTGGACCGAAGTTGCTAGCAAAGAATTCGAGAGGCTAACAGTGGACCGGAGGATTCATAGGAAAAAACGCAAGGATGACTACGGTGATAGGCACCCTTTCTGCCTTTGACGTGAAGGAGCAGACATGGGAAGAGTATTGTGAGATACTTGAGCAGTTTTTTGAAGCTAACGGAATTGATAACGGAGACAAACAAAGAGCGATCCTCATCAGCGTGGTGGGACCAGCCACGTACAAGCTCATAAGGAACCTGGTGAGTCCAGATGAGCCCAGCTCGAAAACATACAGTGAGTTAAAAACTTTAATGAAAGAGCACTTCAACCCCAAACCGAGCGAAATTGTGCAGAGATATACATTTGACTCGCGCTCCCGCCAATCCACGGAGACGGTCAGTGCATACGTAGCGGAGTTGAGACGATTAGCACATGATTGTAACTACGGTACTACATTGGAACAGATGTTGAGAGAGCGGCTTGTGTGCGGTATTAATGATGACAGGATTCAAAGACGCCTGCTATCCGAAACAGACTTGACTTTTGAGAAAGCATTCAAAATTGCAGTAGCTGCAGAAGCTGCTAGTAAACATGTTCAAGACCTACACAAGGCACCGTTAGCATGCAACAGCATGAAGACGGAGGGAACGTTGAAAAAGGAGGGAGATTGGAGAAAGAGATAAAGAATGCTATCGATGTCAGGGGAAACAGCGCAGCGGAGTGCAAATTTAAGGAGGCAAAGTGTCACTGTTGTGGGAAAATAGGGCACATAGCTACGGCTTGCCGGAATAAAAATAAAGGAGGCGCACGACCCTTTGGAAAGAATGCATGCAGAGCTGAGTGCCGTTCACTCCACATCGATCACATAACGTTGACTGTGAAAGGCAGGATGGTGGCAGATCTGAAGAGGAAGCATTCACATTAGCCTGCATAAAAACGGAGACATCAATTCAGAGAATAAAACCGCTTGAAGTGACTATGGAAGTGAACAAGAAGACACTACACTTTAAAATTGATAAAGGCTGTAGTGTAAGCATAATGAATGAGATGAAGTTCAAGGAGATGTGGAACGAGAAGCAACGTCCTCAAATAAAACAAACTAATCTTCTACTTAAGTCATATACAGGGGGAAAAATCAAAGTAGTGGGGGTAGCCGAAGTTGAAGTAAACTATGAGCGGCAGGTGAAGACATTGCAATTAGTGGTGGTTAAAGGTGCAGGACCTAGCTTGTTAGGAAGAGGATGGCTAGAGGCTCTAAAGCTGAAGTGGGAAGAAATAAAAAATGTGAGAACAGAGGCACAGAGTCTACAGGACGTGCTCGTGAGGAATGAGGATGTATTCAAGCAGGAGTTAGGCATGTTGAAAGGCATGAAAGCAACCATTCGAGTGTCTGCTGAAGCCCATCCTAAATTCTATCGGCCCCGCTCAGTTCCTTACGCCATGAGAGCAAAGGTAGAAGAGGAGATCGACAGGCTGCTGAGGGAGGACATCATAACTCCCGTTAAATACGCTGAGTGGGCTGCACCCGTAGTTCCTGTCTTGAAGCCAAATGGTTCGGTCAGAATATGCAGAGATTACAAACTAACAGTTAACAGTGCCTCCTCACTAGAGCAATACCCTATTCCCCGGGTAGAAGATCTGTTCAATACTCTGTCAGGAGGGAAACAGTTCTCCAAGCTTGATTTAAGCCACGCATATCAACAGATTGTAATGGATGATACCTCAAAGAAATACTTGACAATAAACACACACCGAGGCCTGATCACCGACAATGGGTTCCCGTTCAGAGTTTCATCAGCGCCGGCCATTTTCCAGGGAACAATGGAAAACCCGTTACGAGGTCTTCCAAGAGTAGCGGTGTACTTGGACGACATTATTCTGACTGGGAGAGATGAAGCCGAACATCTGAGTACGTTGGATGAGGTACTTAGGCGACTGAAAGACGCTGGCCTGCGACTTCACAGAAGCAAGTGTGCGTCTACAAAATGAGGTGGAATACCTTGGTCACAAAGTCAATGCTGAAGGCTTACATCCCGTACAGAGTAAGGTGAGAGCCATAGAGGAAGCTCCACCGCCAACCACAGTGACTGAGCTAAAGGCGTATCTAGGTCTGTTGAACTATTATAATAAGTTCCTCCCTAGCCTTGCTACACGGTTAGCCCCGTTGCACAAGCTGCTGAGGAAAGATGTTCCTTGGACCTGGAACAACGAGCAGGATGAAGCTTTTCAAAATTCAAAACAGTTGCTGAAGTCAGCTAAAGTCCTATGTCACTATTCAGCGGACAAAGACTTGGTGCTGGCATGTGACGCATCGCCATACGGTATAGGCGCCGTACTGTCCCATGTCATGGAAGACGGTAGTGAAAAGCCTACAAATATATCTACGGACGAACATTCACTATCAGCACTGACCACAAACCACTGATATCACTCTTTCACGAGAAAATGGGTCAGAAGATGGGGTCACCAAGAGTGCAGAGGTGGGCAACACTCCTGAGGGCATATGAGTACAAAATCATATACAAACCTGGGAAGGAACATGCAAATGCAGACGCACTGAGCAGGTTGCCACTGCCACAAATAGGGGAAGAGGACGACACAGACCAGGTTCTCATGTTGGAGGTCATGGATGATCCACCAATCACGACAGCACAGGTTAAACAGTGGACAGCTAGGGACGAAACACTCTCCCAAGTGCTAGTCTGGTGTCTGAAAGGATGGCCAAGAGAGGTGGATGCAAGGTACAAACCCTACAGTCAAAGAAGACTGGAGCTGAGTGTGAAAGATGGGTGTGTGCTCTGGGGGGCAAGGGTGGTCATTCCGCAGAGGGGTAGGAAAGCCATTTTACAACAGTTACACCACACACACCCAGGTATATCCAGAATGAAGGGCTTAGCACGTTCGTACGTTTGGTGGCCAGGGATGGATTCCGAGATTGAGAAGGAAGTACAGTCCTGCCATACGTGTCAGGAAAACAGAAATCTGCCAGCAGGAGCGCCGCTACACCCTTGGGAGTGGCCTGAGACTCCCTGGAGCAGACTGCATATTGATTACGCCGGCCCTTTCCTAGGAAAAATGTTCCTTGTCATTGTAGATGCACATTCCAAATGGATTGACGTGTATCCAGCAACTACAGCAACAAGTCAAGTTACCATCGAAAAGCTCAGACAGTGCTTTAGCATACATGGCCTGCCCCAGACCTTAGTATCGGATAACGGAACTGGCTTCACAAGCCAAGAGTTTAAAGCATTCATGAATCAGAATGGCATACAGCACATCACATCCGCACCATTCCATCCGGCGTCAAACAGCCTAGCGGAAAGAGCTGTACAGACGTTCAAACAAGGAATAAAGAAAATCAAAGGAGACACCTTGGAGACAAAAGTAGCTAGATTCTTGTTCAATTATAGAATCACACCACAAACCACGACTGGATTGTCACCAGCTGAAATGCTTATGTCCCGGAGATTGCGCTCCACGCTGGATCTTCTGCTGCCTGATGTGAAGTCAAAGATTCGTAAGAAACAACTCAAACAGAAAGAACAAAATGACACACACAGTAAGTGGAGGAGTTTTTCGCCTGGTGATGACGTGTACACCAGAAACTACAGTCATGGGCCCCGTTGGGTATCCGCGGCCGTTGAAGAGACCACAGGACCTGTATCCTATACAGTACAGACCGGAGATGGACGAGTCATGAGACGCCATGTTGACCAAATCAGAAAACGTCATACAACAGTGAGCACTGAAGCCCCCATTCCCGAGGTGACTGTGGAGCCTACCCGTCTTCAGGTTCCAGATCCAGTTTTGGAGGCCCTGCCTGCAGACTGTGCCATCACTACTTCCGTTCGAGAGAAAATGGCTGCTCCTGATACAGCCCAAGCACACCCTTCAGCCGTTGAACAGCCAGATGCAGGAGTAGTCCCACTCCCTGTGCTGCGCCGCTCTGAGCGCACAAGACAGTCTCCTGCTTACCTAAAAGACTTTGAGAAATAGTAGTGGGTTCTCTCAAGCAAGAGCAAGAATGCGCTCTGTGACTCACTGGAAGGATGGTAGTCTACCCACCTTCCTAGTGTGTTTCTAATTCTGTTCAACGGTATGTATATATATATTAAAAAAAAAGGAAAATGGGGGGGGGGGGGATGTGAGAGTTTGCCAGAATGTTTGTGTTAGCAGCGAGATCAGACAGTCCAGGAGTGTTTGATGTGGATGTAGTTTTGTTTTCTGTGTTAACCGGTTGGAGTACAATGCCACCCATACAGTTTGATTGGGATTAGTTGGGGAATACAGGATATTTTACGAGAGTTTTTCTCTTAAGGAGGGAGGAATGTGGTATCCTGATATTTAGGTTGTGATATTTACCTGCATTACCACTCCACACCACAAGAGAGTTAGTTGACCTTCACGGTCATTAGGCATGTTAGTTGTTAGCTACTGTTCAGAAGAAGAATAACCCGCTGTGAAGATGTCCTGTCACGTTGAACTAAATAAATGATAACTATGATTATCAAGAGTGGTTTAGTCTTTTAAATACTGAAGTTACCACACGTGGACTCGTGAAACGTCATCAGTCGCAGCTCGAGTACTGTTCCAATTCTAAAGTCCGCATCTGGCCGAGAGCGGTCATAATGCCCGGATGTGACTCGCCCCGCCCATTTTACCGGGCACGCATCGGAGCAGGCTCGTCTGTTCTTGTGAGAGCCAAATATCCCAGAATGCATTTCACCTCAGCAACGGCAGAGGAAAAGAAACACTACTGCAGGTCAAAGTTTATAAATACTACGATATTCAGGTCACAGAATGTAATTTGGGACTTTTTTAGACGAGAAGTTAGTTGTTTAAGCAGCATTTCTGCGGTGGGTTTGTCAACATTCAGCCTTTGTAATAATTTGCTCTGAGGATGTCGGAGATGTGAGGTCTAGTTAACGGGACCGTCAGACTCCAGGGCCCTGTTCCTCCTACATGGTTAACTGAGTTAGGCGGATAATCTTCAGGATGAGATGACGTAGATCAGGCTTTTCGTTTCCCTGAAGCAGGTTTGTGTCGTGCGAGCAAAACAAGGACTAGACTGGAGACTTAAATCAAAATAGTATGACAAAGGTTATTTGCAACAAGGGTATTCTGTCCTGCAGTTATACGTGCACGGACCTATTCCAGGCAGTTTAACAAAATGAAAAAAGGAGCTTAATACAAGATGCGCTCGAATTATCTAGTCTCTAAGAGCATTTTTGATTGGTTATTAAGATGGAGTATTCTTAGATCCCTCGGAGAGCCTCATTGGAGCACAGGGATGTCCATCCCTCTAGGCTCTCGGATCAACACGCCTCCCGTTGTTCATGAGTTCTACATATCAGGATGTTTGCAAGATGATTTGCATATGAGTGGTAGGCACAGTTCTAGGTATGGACATGTTACTCTTAGAATGGGGAACAGCTGGTTCCTGTTGAACTGCCTTTGACACAGATAGTGCTGCATCTTTTGCAACATGTTCGTGTGCTGCTGTTGTTGAAATACATGTTGTTATTGCAATCTGGCCTTTAAGCGTCCTTCACCCATTATTACTATGCATCTATAGTTCAGTGATGAACACCACACGCTGTAGCAGAACATCCACTGTCCCGCAGACCGTCTCATATACTGTCCCACGCACGTCTCTCATACTGTCTCACACACTGTCTCTCATACTGTCTCACACACTGTCTCTCATACTGTCTCACACACTGCACTGCATGAAAAGTGAGATTTTCGTCCCCGTAAACGCCCGGAAATCTCCCTAATTTCCGACAATTTGCAACCCGCGCACGTCGCGTTTGTCTGTGCCACAAATTGTCGGAAACGAACCATGACGTAGGCGGAGAGCTGGCGGAGGTGCGAATGACCCGAATTAGCATATGAATGCAGCGAAACCGCGGTTGGCCGAGCGGAGCGGGCTTGAATATCCTTACTCCTTATTGGAGGAAACCACAACTTACTAACTAATAAAATCACTCGTGATTGGCAGCAAAACCACACGTGGGCCGACCAGGCTTGAGTTTCCTTGTTCATGATTGGATGAAAACAACTTATCCTATGTAGGCTACTACACTACTATTAGGATACCAACCAGGACATCAATGAATTTATAGAGAAAATGAACATGTTTATGCAAAGAAAGAGCTTTATTAACAACACACAAACAACAACTACATACAAAGTGAGGATCTGCCCACACTTGGGTAACGGCGGTTTAAAAACTACAGCTCAGTAAACTGTCCGTTTGCCTCCTCGGGGTTGTTGACCGTCACTGGCGCCGTGTTTCCCGAGGCAGGTCTGTTGTGCAGGCGGCTCGTGTGTGTGGCGACCGTACGATCCACCCGAGACGCCGCCAACAACGCCGTCCTCTCCGTCCGACGTGAGCTCCACGGTGGCGGATTTCCACCTCGTCATCAGCCAGCGCACTTTGTCTCGATTCCAGCAGCTGTAAAAACAACAATGAATCAGTACTGTGCGATGCGTACGGACACAACACATCGATCAATGCACCTGAAACAAGTCAGCAAATAAACTCTGACCCGCTTTCTTCTCGCTCGACTCGCGAGAATCCTTCGCAGCTTCCGCCAGCAATGAGTGTTCCGGCTGAACCTGAAGCTCCTGCGTCCCGTCTCACAATACGTCTCACAGGCGGCTGGAAAACAATTAAATGAGTGTGGTATGAATACAAAAAGAAAATCAAATGCAAGTCACAGTAACATTTAACAAGGAAGGAGAAACAGTGTCACTTACACACAATGACGTCGTCTAAATCTGTCACGGTGTGGTTTCACTTCCTGTTGTATTTTGTAGTTTTCTGCCACTCGTGTCCCCGGGTAACTTCACTTCCTGCCTTGTCCCGTCATCCCCTGTGATCGTCTAATAGTTTCCACCTGTGTCCAATCACCTGCACCTCCCTTGTATATTTAAGCCGTGTGTCTCCTGGGTCACTTGTCGCGTCATTGTCTTTCGTCACACATGTTGCCTGCTGTTTTTCCTCCCGGTTCCTGTGTTTTTTGACCATTGACTATTAAAGTCCTTTGTGTTCCTGTTGAACTCTGCGTCTGAGTCCTGCCTTCCACCCCCAACCCTGACAAAATCTGGACTTTTCCCGGAGCAAATACGAGGTCACCGCCTCATTATGAGGCGAGATTAGTCTGTGAAAACAAAATGTACAGTTATGATCGGTATCCATCCGTATATATTTCCTTATACCGCAGAATGAAAGCATATTCTTTAAATCTTACCCATGCTCCGGTTCGTAGCGCCTGTAATTCGTCTCGGAGTTGTGAAGACGGCGCACCGCTTCCTGTAAACGACACGGCAAAGAAAACACACTTTAATAAAGCTGTTTCTGCTCACTTGCAAGGCTACTAGGCTACTCTTAGCTTAGCTTGAGGCTAAGCTACTATTAGCTTAGCTTGCAGTCATCGAACGTATTCTTACCGCTATCTTGGGATCGTGCGCCCGTCTCCTCTTCTTTGAGTCGGTTCCTCTCCTCGATGGACACAAACCCGCAGAGTCCCGAACGCTCCAGTGGAGCGAACCGCTCGTTGATATCGGCAGTTTGTTGTTGGCGTTGACGAGACGATCCACTGAGAGCTTTCAGCAGTTTCTTCTCGTCTGTCTGCGGACTGGCCGAAAGTTGGTGACCGCGGAGAGGAGTTGAAGGCGAGTTGAACGCGAGACGTCGTCCCGCCATTATTCACGAAGCAGCAAAAACCAAACAAAGGAACTGGAAATACAGTTCTTCTGACTATAGTAACACACTGTTTGTATGCTCGTCTTGCAAGTACTGCTGGCTGAGTCATGCCTATGACCTCACACGTGATTGGACGAGGAGTCTAAGGGTCCTCCAATCACATACAAGGTTATTGTTATACGGAAGGACCAGTATTTTAGGAAGACAAATGGTTGGGACTTTGAAACAGCTGATATGCTTTATGTAAAGCCGTGTTTTGGTGTCAGCAGAACGACTTTCCCTAGAAAACTGTACAGTGGTGCCTCTTCCTCCATTCCACCAGACAATCTAGAGTCTGACAGACATGCAATGTTGACAATGTATCATCAGATGTACCCTTGTGTCACTGAGGTTGAATGTTTTGCCATGACATGTAAACGGGTAACATATATGAATGTAACTTACTCAATCAATAGATGCAGAGCATAAAGGTCAGCGTATATTTATGCTAAGTGGTGTGGAAACACTAACAGTTTTGAGGAACCCGTCCTTGACCCTCTAGCAGAACTACGACCAGCCATTATAAAGCAGTTTATAGTTGTTAATGTTGTGTCAAAGGGTACGGCATTTAAACATGTTCTTGCACAAGTTTCCTGGCTTCATCCCCACCCGGACAGACATTTTTATGGAAAGCCATAGAAGTTTGGGGCTTGCAGGGAACAGACACGTCATACCCAGCATCATTTCTGCCAGTTGAGCGCATTGCTAGAAGATGTGTGGTTAATACATCCTCTGTGCATTTAAGACCAAAGAAAAGGTCACTGTAGTCCTGCCACTATGCAGTTGAGCTCTAGGAGACTGTGATCTCTGCAGACCCCTCATGCTGATTCAAATGTTGTTTGCATGGAATGCTCATTTTACCTTGATTAAAACAAATTTTTTAAAGAAGTTATTTTGTGTATCTTTTTTACATAACATTTGCCATTGCTAATGGCGTACACCGTAATCTAGCATATTTGAATTAAATTAATCAATTCAAGCTAAAATTTAAGAGTCTATAATTAGGCTACTGAGCCTGATCTATTTGTACCAGAGATTTTCTTACCTTTTAAAAAAATGTCACCTGGGCTAAAACTCCCTCTGCGACCCTGATTTGCGTTTGTATAGCTCACAGCATTTTCATTTACATGTCAAAGCCTCCCCTAGAAATAGGAGGAGGGGGGTCATGGGGGGACAACTGCCAAGGGAGGCCCACATCAATTTCTGACAATTTACGGCAGTTTTCGGCGTTGCCCGCAAATTGCCGCAAACTTGAATTTCCACGACAATTTACAGTGCCGCATACTGCCGAAAATCCCACTTTTCATGCAGTGAAGACTGATGTTGTTCACCGGTAACGGTAACAGAGTGCAGCGTGTGCATTAAAAGTAACGATTTTTAATCAAAGGACATGAGGACCGTCATCGAGACTCTAAACCGGCAGCAGGACGTTAGCTTCAAAGGGACTCTGAAGCTCTGAATTATAATAATAAATACAAATGTTTCTATTTATTTCATTGTTAGAAAATGTAAATCTAACTGTATCACCGTTGATTCCTGCATCATATTACATTACATTACATGTTGTTTAGCAGACGCTTTTATCCAAAGCGACTTACAATAAATGCATTACAACCATAAGCTGCTTCAACCTAATTTAATCCCTAACGATGTCGCCTATCGAACTGTAGCCTCCATGATCACTGTTTATTAGATAGAAGTTCTAATGAGGTCAACTATCCTACAGAATGTAGCCTCATTGATCACTATATTATATACATAAAATACTATGAGGTTAATCATTATTAATGTCGACACACAGAAGAGGTTCAGGTACATCTGCAAATTAATTTATAGTGATGTTTGTCCATTTAACTGTACGAGGACTACCACACTGATTATCGGCCTATTGATGTTTGGGTAACAAGAAGACAAACGGTAGGTGTGTGTGTGTGTGTGTGTAATGTAGCCCTATCCAGTAAAATATTAACTGTTTAATTGTTGTTACTGTATCCAACCTCCTCTTACTTTATGAAACCTGTATAACGCTAATGCAGTGTGATATTCCTGATTCTTGATGTAATATAAAAATGACTGTATAACAACTCTTATTTGATCCATTGAGATATTTTCCCTAATTATTTTATGACTGACATATATTTGCTCTATACCATATAGATGACCATATATACAGTATATATATTTATTAATGGAAATAAAGTCTGTCGACCAAAATGTGTGTTGGAAGGCGTAGTTCTTCTCTCCCGAGATTACTTAAAAAGGAATGCTGATTGATTAGTGATTTGAAGAAGTAAACTAAAACTCAAACATCAAGCCATCTGGGACAAACGTTTTATTGATCCGTTATAGTTGCATGGACAGTGTTGCAACTCCACTCGCTCTGTGTCCCGCTGTGCAGCTTCAATCACAAAACTAACAGATTTAGAAACTGGAAAGAGTTAAACTACTTCCCTACATCATCATATATTTAAATATTCAAAAGTAAATATAATTTAATTCAATCTGCTGAGACCTGCAAATGTCTCGCCTTGTTTAGTTCCGTATTTAATGCTCCCGCCGTCCAAGAGAGACGTGTGAAATGCATTTGAGGAGGAACCAGTGTTTTCTTTAATTGGGTAAGAGAGAAGGATGTGGTTTAGTTTCTGATGTTTGTTCTGCTAAAACATTCATTCCTCTTTTCTTCTATGCAATACTCACAAGATGTGTAAGTGAGCAGCAAACCACAACATCTCTCTGTATCTGTACCAAATCTCCCTCAATTTATCTAGAAGCAGTTATGAAGTTGTTTTTTTAATGCATGTAGTGTAAGTATCTGTTGCTCAGACCAAGTGTTGTTTGACATGTCGGCACATACAGCACTAAACTGGTGTACGGAGAACACATGAGGGAAGACTTTGTCATCACATATCATCTGCTAATAATAAACATATCTTTGTCTGACTTGTTTGTCCTGATTGGAATTAGTCAGCAGTAGCCCGGTGAATACTTCATTATTGGTTGAAAGGTTGTTTGAAGGATCTTAAATGTGCAATTGATGGCCATTTGGGTCGTATCTTTGAGGTAGTAAGTATATGTGGGGTGGGACCTTAGGACCTGGGAGCCTCAGCACAGAGCGGGAGGCTTAAACTCAAGGGGAGCCTCTCCATAGAAAGGAGATCTCGTGAGAGTTGAGCAACTCACGTTTGTTCTCGTTGTCCGGCATGTGCTGAAGTCTAGGTTGCTCTGTTTGTTACTCGCCAGTACCGTGTGGGTGAGCAAACTATACTAAGGAGAAGGTCAGACCTGGACCAGACCTGGTGAGCCCAGAGTCTTGGGCCTAGGAGGCTGAACTGGTGACACGGAGTGGTCAGCAGGGCAGCCACTGCTCTTTTTCTCCGAACATAGTTTTCGATTATGCTCTAGTGCCTCCATCTTGCTCTCTCTCTTTATAGAAATAACAAACTGATATTGTGCCTTTTTGATGACCGTTGCTTCCCCCTTCCCCACTTTTATTGTGTTGTGTCTTTTAACCAGGATCATTAATCGTATTTGTGTGTGTTGGTTATTTTAGCCTTTCTTAACAGTGTGCAGTGTTTTTATTGTTGGAAGTGTCATTGTTGCCCCCGGTCAATCACTACTGGTATAAATTATTTGGATGTGTTTTTATAAAGTTATTGTTTTAATAAAAGTGATATTGCACTGTACACGCAGAAGCCTCTGCCTGTCTATGATCTACCTTGTATGGGGTTTTTGGCCAGTAAGATAATTGAATTCAGGGTCTCTCCCCTCAAAGAGAGTGGCGTTGTCACGTCTGGATATTATTATTAAGTATTTTAAGTGTCCATTTGGTCACATATATTTTACTGGTGTACTATTTTGGAGTACTCTTGTTGTACTTATACTCCACTCTATTGAAGACTCATTCAATTACTTACTTTTTAGATTCAAAGTAATTGAGTGTATTGTTAAAGGTTGATAAGATAGGACTTAATTTATCCACAAGCTCAGCACTATAAAGTAATGACAAATAGTTCTACCTTTACCAGATGGAAGCAGGAACATGACGCGTCCATGAAAGACAAAGCACAACTCTTTAAGGACGTAACCACTCACATCTGAAATTATGTCCAGGAAATGTTAAATATGATCAGAATCCTAACGCAGGGGGTAGAGCGAGTGCACTCGTAAGCGCAAGATTGGAGGTTCGAGTCCCGGCTGCCCCATGTCTCAAGTCGAAGTGTCCCTGAGCAAGACACCTAACCCCTAAATGCTCCCCGGGCAAAAATGCAAAGCCATGGGTTTAAAATGTAATGTAAGTCGCTTTGGATAAAAGCGTCAGCTAAATGACCTGTAATGTAATGTAATGTAATGCAATATCTGTCACGGTTTGGGTTTGTTTCCTGTTTTATTTTGTCGTTTCCTGCCTCTTGTGTCCCTGGGTTAACTTCACTTCCTGCCTGGTCCTGTCTTCCCCTGTGATTCTCTGCCGTGTCTCTGATTGTTTCCACCTGTGTCCAATCACCTGCACCTTCCCAGTGTATTTAAGCCCTGTGTGTCTTTTGTCCCATGTCGCGTTATTGAATGTATGAATGTTCAACCGTGAACGCCTTACCTGTTCCCTGCCTGCGTTCTTTCTCCTCTGGTGTTTTTTGGATTTTGTTTTTTTGGGGTTTAATAAAGTAGTTTTTGTTGTCTGCGTTTGGCTCCTGCCTTTGTCTGCCCCGTTCCTGACAATATCGTTTGAAATTGTCCAACAATGTAACGCCAGAGAAGTCCCTGCGCACAAATTCTTTTTTTTAGAAGCTCAGAATAATACGGACCTAGTGGCTGTTTTATCACTTCACATCTTAATCTGAATATAAACCCGCAGGGTAATTCAGTAACAATCTATTTTTGTGTTTGGAAATTCCCTCTAACTGGTTTTTGCTAAATTTGTCAAAGATGTATCAAAGATATTGATTCCTGTGTAGCAGTTTGTGCATATCTACAAAAATAATATATGCAAAAACAAAAAAAAGCATACGCTTTTAGCATTTCAGATTCCTTGCTGCTTTGATATTCCAATTCTCAAGGGATCGATCCCTTTGTTGACTTCGTCGGCTTTTCATTGAGGACTACTATAATGCACTTATGCAGGATCGCGCTCATCTGGGAAAGCTGCATGTTTAAGAGATTTTAATGAGAAACTCTGACCATAGCTTTTTCTGTAGCAGGTCAGTGTGCACAAGATGGCAATCTAGCCAGTTAAAAACAAGCCCCCTTTGTGGAACTAAAAATTCCACATGCAGGACCTCACACACCCACTAATCTGTCACCGTGTTACAACCCTCTGTTTGACTTCCCTGTAAGAGGCAGTCAGCTATAGAGGCCTTGGTATATATGGAATACTTTGCATTGTATGGTTTTGAGCTTTTTTTTCTGCCCTAAGTGACCGAAATGGCGGAAAAAAAAAGAGGAAGGACTGAGCAGTGAGGGGTTATTTTGCACATCGCGGTTTTGACTTCAGTTTTCTGTCGTCTGCTCTGTCACTAAGGAACATTTCAGCCATGGAGTTCATCCAACAGAGAAACCTTCACTATTGGGTCATTGGTAAGACTTATTCTCAAAGTTAATGAAAATTAAAAAAAAGATTTTTTTTAATGAATATCGTAGTTTAACTATTTTTATGAATTATGAAGTGAATCCAAAACACAACAAGGCAAACTTGTATTTCTGCACCTTTCAGCTTGCTGAATATAATGAGACAAATTGTTTTTGTCTCTACAGTGTATTTTCTCTTGACCATACCTTCACCTGCTGCAGGTCAGTTAGTTCAACGCTGTGATGAATAAAATGTGATACTTTTCAGTTAACATTCTTTGTAAATAACTCAAGACTTGTTTGTTATGTTGTGTCTTATGTTTCCGATAGATGCTCAGATCAGATTAGTTGGGACTGGGTCTACTCGTTGCTCTGGAAGGGTGGAAATCTATTACAACAGTTCCTGGGGAACAGTGTGTGATGACAGCTGGGACTCAAAGGATGCTGATGTAGTGTGCAGACAGTTGGACTGTGGTACGGCACTGAGTGCTCCTGAAGAGGCCCACTTTGGTGGAGGAACCGGATCAATCTGGCTCGATGATGTGAGCTGTTCAGGAACTGAGAGGAATCTAACGGAGTGTACGCACGGAGGATTTGGAACACACAACTGTGAACACGATGAGGACGCCGGCGTTATCTGTTCAGGTGATCAATTCTAACAGCTCTGGTCTTTGTGCTTTGTGATGAGCCTTTTGGGAGCAGCACCCAGTAAAGTGCTGGTAACCACAACCTGCAGCATGCTATTAGAAAAGATGAGCAGAAGAAAGTGTAAAAAGCTGCTTTACACTCCATTAACTATAACAAATAACAATAACGAATATGAAGATGTTATTTTGTGTTTCATATACTTCTTTGTAAATAACTCAAAACTTGTTTGTTATGTTGTGTCTTCTGCTTCCGATAGATGGTCAGATCAGATTAGTTGGGAACGAATCTACTCGTTGCTCTGGAACGGTGGAAATCTATTACAACAGTGCTTGGGGAACAGTGTGTGATGACAGCTGGGACTCACAGGATGCTGATGTAGTGTGCAGACAGTTGGACTGTGGTACGGCACTGAGTGCTCCTAAAGAGGCCCACTTTGGTGGAGGAACCGGAATAATCTGGCTCGATGATGTGAGCTGCTCAGGAACTGAAAGGGATCTAACGGAGTGTAAGCACGGAGGATTTGGAACACACAACTGTAAACGCAATGAGGACGCCGGCGTTGTCTGTTCAGGTGATCAATTCTAACAGGTTTGGTTTAAATTAATTTAATTAATTAAAAGGTAATTAAGTTAATTAATTAAAAACATTGTGTTATTGTTTTCAGCGAGCCTCCCAAGACTCTCTGTTACTGGTAAGAAACATTGATGAATAAATAGAATAATATGACAAAACAAATAAAAAAGGTAGGTCATCCTCAAATTACAATTAGGTTTACTGTAATATTGTACTTTTGGTAATTTATTAATAACTTGAAAGAAATTGCGTGCAATAGTCGACTTTCCCTTTTCTTGTCCGCGCACTTTAAGCCTTTAATTTTCTCAAAATTTCTTATAAATTTCTTACAATCCGGAGCGCCTTATATATGGATCAATTGGTTGATCCACACTGGATGTACACGGCGCTCAAGGCGCTCTGTCAAAATGTTTCAGTATGAAAAACCAATAATAATAAATATGTTTCGGTACGACTGGTAAACTACAAAGCCGCACCGCTTGCAGCATTACGGCTACCAGTCAGTAACCACCAATACTGTGCTGACTTACAGTTACGGTGACCAGACGTCCTCTTTTCCCCGGACATGTCCTCTTTTTGAGACCTAAAAAATGCGCCCGGCAGGGATTCCAAAAACGTCCGGGATTTTGCTTCGTCGGATACTTGTGTTTCTCTAGGTCAGGGGTGCCCAACCTTTTTTGACCCAAGATCTTCTCTTTAAGTAGCCAACCTCCCGAGATCACCAGTCCAGTGTCAACATCGCAAACCCACGCACATCGTTTCCAGCCTGCCATACTAACCTCACAACACTTTTTCTTGTTGTCACACAACTACTAGACATCACAACACAAACCCTCCCTCTCTCAAACACACACACACACACATACACAGACAAATTCCTCACACAGTTGCCAGTTTGCATAATGCGCTGTAGCACAAACTAGATACAAAACAGGTGGATATCAGAGTTTGAAAAAAGGAAATCACTTTCTACCTTAGTGGGAACCCTGGCACTGGGAGGAGGAGGCTAGCTTCTCGTAGTCAGGAGTGTAGGAGCTGGTTGCAAGGCGTAGGCAGGCTGCAAGGTGGTCATCAGTCATTGTTGATCTGTACTTGGATTTTCATGTGCGAGAAAGCAGACTCGCACAAATAAGTTGATCCAAAAAGAGCTGTCAGGTTCAAGGCACATCTTCTGAGATTGGGATACTTGTCCTCCACCAGTAGTTTCCAGAAAACACTACATGCTCTCCAGGTTGAGCAGATTTGACTTTGGCGGCAATGTCACCAACATCAATACTTGCACCAAATGGATAACACATATAGCTGGCTACAGGCTCCATGGATGCAAAGTCAGTAAAACGCCTCTCAAACTCTGACAAGATGCTCTGAACATGCTCCTCATAACGTGCACTGTCAAGCTCTGTCACACCTTTACCTTGACGTTGTAGTTCTGCGTGCATGTGAGAGAAGTTGCGCAGGTTACCACGCTGCAGCCTACTTGACATCAGCTGTAGCTTGCTTTTAAACATGCTTTTAAGCCACTGGTGGTCCTCTAGCTTTGTATGGTAATCCACATGTTTTGAAAGCTTCAGGAAGTCCTTGATTTCAGGCAATAGCTCCGTGAATCTGGCCAAAAATGTACCTCTGCTTAACCACCTAACATCCGTGTGAAGCGGCAGGTCTGTGTGCTCAGCATCATTCTCCTCCAAGTGAGCACGGAAAAGCCTTCTCTGCAGACTCCTGGCCCGAACCGAACACACAATCTTCATCGCAATATCCATCACTTCTTTCATATTTAAAATCTTTCCACACAATTCTTGCTGGTGAATTATACAATGATAATTCAGGATATCCGGGAGAGATTCACTTTCTTTGCACAGTGCAACGAACCCACTGGTGCGGCCCATCATAGCAGGCGCCCCATCAGTTGTGATGGAGATCAGCTTGAAGAGCGGCAGTTTTGTCTCGCTAACAAATCCCATGAAAGCATTAAAAATATCCTCACCTCTGGTGTGTCCTTTTAATGGCATAACCGTAACCGTAGGTTAAACGTGACCTACGGTCTACCTTTTTTCTTTTTCATACTTTTTATGGACGTGTTTAACAGACTGATAGGGTGCGCAGCCAAGGACTCATGATAGGCTGTAGTGTAAATTTAATATAAAATATGACACACACGCAACAAAAAACTGCTTTTCCTACACCCCTCGGGGTCGACTTGTCCGAGGAAAAGAGGACGTCTGGTCACCCTAACTGTAAGTAAGCACAGTATCGGTGGTTACTAGGGGTGTAACGATTCGATTCGAATCGCGATTCATGGTTGCCGATTCGATTCATGGACGATCTGGGTTAATTTAGAACGATTCGATTCAGTGACTTGAAATCGATTTCAGTAACTTTACTGGACAGTGCAGGCACAGTTTCTGAGATCCCTGTTGTTTCTTGTAAGGAAATCAGGTTTAAATTAATTATGGATATTATAAACAAGCAAACAACAATTAATGGCAAATGTATGAACCTTTTATTTGAATCAAGTGCCATTTTCAATGTAAACATTACACAATAATTACACAATGTTTGGATCAATTCACAGAACCCCGGTCTTTACAGATAAACTTGGCAATTGTTACTGTGATGGTGAGTTTGGTGCTGGCGAGGCCTGAGGTGTCTGCAGAGCTGGAGTTACCTGCTGCTGCTGCTGCAGCGGTGACGCTGCTAGAGGTCCTGACTGTCGGCGTTGTTTAATCCCACGGCGCCTTAGTAGATGGACGGAAAGATTCGTCGTGTTTCCGTGGTTTTTATTTGGCTTCTACATATTCTACAAACAGCGACCGACTTATTTAGAACACCTCCGTGTTTGCAAAAGCCAAAATGTTTCCACAAGCTGGATCGATAAGTTGGTTTGTAAATGTCTCGTTCGCAGTCGTCTCCTCCACGCTGTGTTTTGTTGTCGTTCAGAGTTTCGCGCGGCTGCCGCTGCGTACTGATGACGTCACAGACAGGCAGACTGAATCGAGTAACGTTTAACGTGTCTAAAGTGCTAAAAAACAAACAACCACACATCCATACCGTTTTGTACTTAAATCCAATGTGCAGTTTCCAAGTATCGATTATGTACCATTTCAATCAATTTGTAATTGATGTATGTCGTCCGGAATGCCGATTTGCGGAGCACAGATCGATTCAGTTGATCGCAGGAATATAAATCGATTAATCGATTCTGTGAATGAATCGTTACACCCCTAGAGGTTATTGACTACGGTAGCCGTAATGCTGCAAGCGGTGCGGCTATGGCTAGAGGACATGTCCGGCGAAAAGAGGACATCTGGTCACCCTATCATAACGCAAACCCAGGGAAAACGTTTGACTGCAGTATTTCATGCGTTTTATAATCCGGTGTGCCCGGATTACACTGCTTTATACTTTTATACATTATACTGCTGCTTTTCATCGCGGACACATTTGTCCCGTATTTTCCTCCACAACTTTGTTCACCTCGACCGGCAAACCAACGTTTGTGGAGATCTCCCTCCATGAATCGGAGGCCGTCCGCGCGTCCTTATGGTCCGCCAATGACGGCTTGTATAAGCGGTCATATTTACGCATTTCTTCCGACAAAAGTTCTTCAATCTGATCCGTTCTCTCATAAACATTCTTCTTTTTAATAATGGCGATATTGTGCTATGAAAACGTAAATGCGAGACTCCGTAAAGAATGTAGTTAGCAGACCAATCACAGCCTTGTGCGCTGCGGGAGGCTGGCGTCGCTTGCGTTGCTTTCGACGCCAGCCTAGGAAAACGGGTTGATGCACGCAAGCAGGCAAGGAGGTGTGAAAAGGCACGCAAGGGACACGCAAGGGGGTCTTGCGTCTGCGTCGCTCTGAAAACGCACAACGATAAACTAGGCTTTAGCCTAGCTTAGGTCGGGTGACCAGACGTCCTCTTTTACCCGGACGCATTTTTTAGGTCCCGAAAAGAGGAAATGTCTGTGTAAAAGAGGACGTCTGCTTTGTCTTGTGTTGCACTTGCTTGGTGTTTGACTGTGTTTGGAAAATTGTTGACTTGCTAGTTTGTCATAAAGTTTAGTGAAAACATGCAACCGTGTGTGTCACACAGGGACACCGTGAGAGTTGGCAGCCCTGTAGCTTTGTTGGCTAGCTTGACAACAACTTTCCTAACAGTCAAACATCAAGCAAGTGCAACACAAGACAAAGACAAGACAGCAAATAAGTTCCTGAATAGTCCAGCAGAAATATATACACGCAAAATAACCTACAATTTCACTCATGTGGGCCTTTTTGATCATGAAGTCAGAATGCACACAAAAGTCATTATACACAAAGTCAAATAATACACACTTGATGCAATAGGCTACATGCTGGTGGAGCCTGAGGGTGGATCTTCACCTAATTCTTTTTATTTTTAGTTAAGGAAATATGAATGTGAGAATATCAAACTCGCTATATGAAGTAAATTAAGCATTGTTTATCCCACAGACAGTCAATCAGATGCCAGGTAAAAAAGGGAACCTTACAGATTTTTTATTGATTACTATCATAGATAAATATTCCAGTAGCCTATCCTATTTGTGGTATCGTATCATAAGTATCGGGTACTGTAATATTTTGGCAGGTATAGTATCGAAGTCATAATTTTGGTATCATGACAACCGTAGTTGAAAAGCAGACATTTTGTTTTGTTCGATGCTTAAGATACACCGATGGTATTGGTAATTTTACCTTAATTAGATACTCAGGAGTCAAACTGATTTTAAGCTTTTATAGAAATTAACCGGGCCTCTAACGCAAAGTGAAATGTTATTAGGCATCTGAATAAGAGAGTGCAGCAGGCAGAGAAGGAGGAAGTTGTTTTTTCAAGAATTACTGGTGTTGCGGGAAGTGGGAGGAGACACGTCAGCGAGCAGTAAAGGCCTGACTGCAAGTAGAACAAGGAAATGTGGTCTGAGAAGTAACAAGGAGACATGAGACCATGTAACAATGTCATTGTTTCCACTATCATCACTGTAGCATCCCTTCAACTTGGAATAAACAGGCTTGGGAGTGTTTCCAGACGGGTGTACTTTAATTCAGTTGAGTGTGCATAGCACCAACACCAACACCGTCACCGTGAAAACTAAAAAGGGAAATAACAATTTAGCCAGATACAAAATAATCCCTTGACAAATGCACTTTACCATACATGGATAACGGCATAGCAGGCAAGAGTCATTATATGAAATGAATTTACATGAATTACAATTACAATGAACCACATACCTCGCTCCGAATATCAAAGGGTGCTATAAAGTAGTAATTCAGGGAAGTCCGCCGCCATTAGCTTAATTTATTAAGTTGCTAGCTAGCTTCTTGTGTCTTCTATTAAACAAATGTGAGCGTGAGCATGAGCGCGAGCGATTAATCACGTGAGCAGATAGCATGATGTCAAAATAAAAGTCACATAAAATCTAAGTAGGAAACAGGATCATCAAAATAAAAGAACACTGCTAGTGGTCATTTACACTCCCACCACTCATGTTATGAAGAGTGAAGACAAGGGTCAACCTGGCTGAACGGATCATACTTGAGTCCTGTCTGTATCAGTGTTTCTAGATGTGTGTAGGTGAGTATTACTTAATATCTAGGAGAGAATAGACTGTCATGAGGAAATAAAAGGTGCAGACAACTAGACTGATTACTCACTCTCGAGGAGGAGAACTAGTTTCTGAATGGGTCTTTCTATGATCAAAGGTTTGGTAGGGCGATCTTGTTTTGCTGATGTTCTTTCCCCTACTAACACCTTGACGCGACGCACTAGACCATCGCTCCCCTTTTGTGGTTTCAACCACTCGTCCCAGGTGCCACTGATTTCTAGGGGTGTCTTCCCTTATAATGACTAAGTCGTCTACCTTAAGGCTGCGTCGAGTTGTATGCCACTTTTGGCGTGTGGAGATGTTCATGAGATATTCTCTCCTCCACCGGCTCCAGAACTGTTCAACAAGGTACTGGACTCTTCGCCACCTTTTAGTTGCATACACATCCTCCTTCTCAAATTTGCCAGGCGGTGGAAGTGCAATCTTGGACTTCATCAGTATGAGATGGTTTGGAGTTAATGGTTCGAGTGAGGTAGGATCATTTACTCCGTTTACAGTTAACGGGCGGCTGTTCACAATGGCCATCGCCTCATAGAACAGAGTTCGAAGGGAAGAGTCGTCGAGTCTGCCTAAGTATTGACAGAGTGTGGCATTTAAGACATTACGGACAGTCCGAATCTGGCGCTCCCCACACGCCGCCAGCGTGACTTGCTGAGGGAGCATTGAAGATGAACTCACACTGCTTTTCTGCGAGGAAGCTATCGATTGTTTTGGTGTCACATTGTTTCAGTGACTCTTGGAACTCATTTCTAGCTCCCACAAAATTGGTTCCTTGATCGCAATGGATTTGACGAACAGCTCCTCTGAGACTGATGAAGCATCTTAAGGCGTTGATAAATGCATCTGTGGATAAGTCCTCAAGCATCTCAATGTGAACAGATCGAGAGGCAAGGCAAGTGAAGATTAAGCCATAGCGCTTTTGCTCTTTGCGGGCTTTCTTAGTGATGAATGGGCCGAAGCAATCGATGCCACAGTATGTGAAGGGAGCAGAGACTTCCACACGTTCCTTAGGAAGCTCTGCCATGCGTTGTTCTTCTACAGGCCGTCTGAGTCTTCTGCACTTCACACATCTGTGTATCAGCTTAGCAACTGAATTACTTCCACCAATGACCCAAAACCCATTGGCTCGAAGTTCTGTTAGAGTTTGATTACGTCCTTGGTGACAGATCCTCTCGTGGCAGTGGGTCAAAATCAACTTGGTAATATGTTCTCCTTTGGGTAGAATCAAAGGGTGTTTGACTTCTAGGCTTAAGGATGACTGATCCAGTCTTCCACCAACACGAAGTGCTCCTCCTTCTAAGATGGGATTCAAGCGAAACAGAGGGCTGGAGTTTTGAAGACTTTTTCCCTTTTGAAGTGTCTCCATCTCTGCTTCTTCTTGTACAAGCTTCACTACCGATTTGGCAGCTCTTTCGCGTTCTTCTACACTCACAGGTTTGCCAGGATGATTTTGCTTTGAGTTCAGCCTCTTGATTCTTGCAATGACTTTCAGGAGTTTTGACCAGGAGGAGAATCGATTTAGACGGGTAAGAAAGTCTGACTCGGAAGGTTCAACCTTAGTTGTGAACGCCTGCATTGACCTGACCTCAGGATCACCGACAAGCAACTCAGGAGTGAGGCGAGACTCTGGATGTATTTCTTGTTCCCACAGGAACTTGGGTCCTGATAGCCAGTTTGTTGAGGAGATGTCCACTGCGTTTAGAC